CTCTCGAAAATCCTTGAGGATCAGCAAAGCGTGAGGACCCTTCAATTATTCCGTCGTGTGTAGGTAGACATGCAGGCAAAAACGTTTACTCGAATATTTAAATCGTGTGTAGGTAGACAGTCAACAAAATTTACTCGACTATTTAAATGCATTGGCTGTCGTTTTCAGTCTGGTGGGACAGTCAAAAACGTTTACTCGATTATATAAATGCAAAAATATTGAAATATGGAAAAAATTCAGTCTGGTAGCTAGTTTTATGAATCGTTACATCGCACGAATAGTAAATATCAATTTAAATGTAGGTGTAGGATTCTTGGAATATGTCGGTTGCAAAGTAACTATTAATTAAATGCGACGCGCGTGTAATGTAGTCTACGGCAGTTATTTGGTATAGTGTTCAATCTTAAATATTATGTCATATCTCTGTAATTTTAATCTAACGTTGCTCTTTAATCCTATATATTCGTCTTATGATCTTCACATGTTAAATGAGTGCTAAGCACGTCAAAGCTATAGTCCAGGCGTAACTCATAATCCAACTTTCTATATAATCATGTGTTCTCTATTCGTACTTGATAAACCGACTCAACGCCATGATTCGATCGACATCACTAACTTAGTTCCATTCGTCAATGCCTGCAATCTCCTCATTTTTTGGCGGCCGAAGCAAATATGCACAAAAGTTTTGCTTCCTCTCTTCTTTCGATACGAGAACTTGTGAAAGACAGCAATATTTCCTTTAGAGTAGCGACCCTTCCTCGACAGACAGAAGCATGGATGCCATTTCCGTGAGATGAAAGCCCACATCGAGGCATACTTCCTGGAGTTCCAGCCTCCAGGAATCTTCGATCCCCACGGTTACTAGAGCGCGATCCCCACGGTTACTAGAGCGCGACCCCCACGGTTACTAGAGCGCGATCCCCACGGTTACTAGAGCGCGACCGCCGCGGTTACTAAAGCGTGACCGTCGCGAATAAAAAATCGCGACCGCGGCGGTTACTAAAGCGCCAATGTTGTCTGTGGAGAAGGCGGCGAAAGCGCGACCATAACGCCGTTGCCAGGGGCAGGTTGTTGGCTTGGAGTGAGCCTATGCCTCTCATGTGGCCCAGCACCGCGGAGTTTGCTTAACATCTATTTGCTTTGGCAGAGTCCCTCGTCTGGTGCTGTCCCTGTTTACAGTTACTGGTGCTGCTCATGATTTTATTGCATGCGCCCGTTGTTGCTTTTTACCGACCTGTGGCCGATAAAATGTTTCATAAAATCATGGGAAACGGTGATTTGTCAAATTGCTGGACCTGGATTGTTCTATGTATTATTGTTCATTTTGTACATATACACTAGATGTGCTCCTCAGGAAACGATATTTGTCATTGCAACTTCGATTGTCTAAATCATAAAACAGTGATTTCATCACTCGCTCCCACTTCACACACAACCATACTTTGTAAGTTTGAGTAAAGTTTCCGAATTATTGGCGTGTCGTCTGCAAACCTTGTATTAAGTCAGAAGTTATTTTGAGTTTAGACTCGTAACACAAATAAAAATATATAAATATCATTCAGTTTAAAATATATTATGGTAGGATCATAACAACACAGTACATATCATCCCACACCATACACAGTCGATGCTGCTGTACGGCACCTCATGTCGCTGATGCCGAGCGCTCTAGTGCTAAGAGCGGAGGCTTAGTGTATACCAGGGGTGAAGTTACCGCGTGTGTAGGGGGCGGCGGCTGAAAGGGTGACAATGATAGTGAAGCAAGATTTAGATGCTGCCGCTGGTAGAGAACAGCCCTTTAAAGCTGCCTATATTGCATAGCAAAGACTTACGGTGTTCGTGGGGTGACTTTAAATCAGGGATGTTTGCTTTGTAGCTTGTCTGAGGATAAACCAGAGCTCTCTCTGTCTTGAATTGAGGAAGTTACTATCAAGAGTTGCGTATGATTTTAATTGTGTGATAATGACAGCCTATGAATGAGCTGCCTTTAATGTATGGCAATATTAGGATGATGTCGGGAAACGCTAGAGCAGCGTTTGATTTGTCATCAGATGGATTTATATAATGTATAAGAAATAAATGTAAGCATAATTTTTCAGTCTTTTTATTATGCTTCATCATTTGTTTAGGTGTTGAATCAGCATATTACTGTGGGTTTCATAGAAGCTTTCATGTGTTCAATGGAACTTGGTAGTGGAAAAATATTTTACTTTGGCAATCAATGCTGGCACTTTAGAAGTGTCACTGATTATGCAAATCTTGTCATACAGCAAATGTTACGAGTCTATTGAGAATCACAGATAAGGTTGTCATTGTAACTTGTATGAACTTGGGATATCCTGTTGTATGTATATTTTAATCGTCGCTGAAACTGATGTTTTGACTTCCTTGTGATTTCCGGTTGCTGTTCTGATTAGTTCATTGATTTCACTCCGTTCGATACGGTACAATATTTACTCCTTGGACGGAATGCTTGGTCAGCTGAGCGTTCTTTCTACTTCTAAAATTGAATGATTTCCTTAATATTCAAGAAAATTTTATTATTGTGAGATGATCAGACGCCTATTTATTCCTCGATGATTATTGATGGCGTCAAGTGATATTCATACCAGATTTTTAATTGATTCATAATTGTCAATAATCGGTTGATTTTAAACGACACTTTCCAGTCAGGTTTTGTCTAGTAATAATATTTTAGACACGTGATAAATTTTACGTAAAATCCATAGTACATATGGACATCATAAATATTTCAAAATTAAGTTGTAATAAAAAATCTCTCGAATTATGAATTATGTTATCCATAGGCCAGCACTCGAAACAAATTTCATATTGAGCCTCAAACTCAGACAAGCCTGCTTGTTTTGCGCTGCTGTGGATGTTCTGGGGCTGAGAGATCGAAGTGGTCCTTGCAACCTTAAGTGCTTGCGTCGCATCAGTGCTCACTTGTCCTTGGGCCTATACTTTCAAAAAAAGTTGAGAGATCGTAAGTTCATCAGCCAATCATTGACGGCCTTCCAAGCAAAATCCACTAATCACAGACAAGAAAATAGAGCGTAAGTACTTACGTTCACTTAGCGAGTTTTGAAAGTATGGCCCCTGATTGCTAGGAATATACACGAGTCTTATTACTGTAATTGGTTGTTATATGATAATTTCCATGTTTTGTACGTTATGAATAAAGTTCCCCGAATTATTGGCGTGTCGTATGCAAACCTCATTTTAATTTAGAAGGTAGTTGAGCTGAGTCTCGTAACACAAATAAAAATAGTTAAATATTATTCAGTTTGAAACATATTGTGGTAAGATCGGTTGGGGGTCAAAAGGATTTTGCATCTTTCTTTGTTGAGTATCGTCGTAGTAAGATTCAATAATTTTATTTTTTCGACTCAATGATTTCGACTTAAATCATTTTACTTGTCTTGACGCCCACTCGATTCCACGATTCCTTCTCACTCATCGTTTTTTATCTGTTGCGCATGCAGTTGGTTGTTACTTATAGGTTCTATACCTACGAATATTGTTGCCGTAGCAAGCCGTGTCTTTAAGTAAAATATTTTCTATCGTAAACTACTCAACAACTCGTAAATTTTTTCCCAAGTCTTCACAATTATTCCCGCAGCTAGGCTAGCAAACCGTATGTTTCGTCGCACTCTCGCCGCTGCATCCGAGTATCCCAACGACAACGGAGGATTTTAATGTTTTCGGGCGTGCATTTTGCACCTCGCGCACTCCCCTGTTTTTAAGACGGCATCTCCACCACTCTTCGGACGCAGCACACCGACTATAACGCCACCAAAAACGCTCCCTCGAGACATGCTGAAAACATACGCCCCAAAAAGCACCTCAAAATGCACCATTGTTGCTGATCCTCTTAGGGAATAAGAAACGCTTGCGTGCATGCGACCAACTTCGGATTTGCAAATTCTCTTGCAAGGAACAACCGGGATCGCAGGACTCTGGTCTAAGACCACCGCACCCGTCCTCTTTAACGCCTTTTCTTTATTGCGGGACATTTTGCCATTCAAGAACTGCTTGGATTCTTACCTCTACTCTTGTGATGAGAAACGCACCTCTGTTTGATTTTGCCTGAGGTTCCCTGTTCGTTGTTTCTCTTATCAATATTGCTTATGGCCGTTAGTGGTGCCAAGCTAAATCTCCATACGAGGCCGTGGCTCCAGGTCGCATTTACTTGCATTATTCAAATGGACTGAGCGCTGCTACTCTATATTGAACCTCAGTCGTCACCGGCACGCACTACACATGCTTGACATGAACTTTATTGTTATAACGTCGCATTGTCAGATTTCTTCAATTGTTGTCACCGTTAGTATGATTTTTAATGGTGATTTTTTTTAATGGTGATTTTGTTGCGAACAAATAATAATTTGTATTTGTAATTATGTCCAATAATTTATATTTTTAATTATGTCGCGATTCAAGGTTGTTTGCAAGAAATTTGTAATATTAATTTGCTTGTTCATAAGATTTTATCAACAATTAAATTAAATTAATTGAATCGAGTAATAATGATAAATTTCTATGTCCAATTTTGTGCTGCCCCTATCATTTTACATTATTTTTGAATGAAAAGTCATTCATGTATTGAGGCTGCAAAAACGACTATTGAAAGTGTGATACGCCCTACTATTCAGATTTTAACAACTCACACTTTTTTTTCGTTTAAAATTCTTATAACTTTAATTTTAATATAATTTATTCTGCCTTTTCAACCCGCAAACTAACACCTTCTATATACTCGAAATTTTTCTTAATTTCAACTTTTGAAAAAAGTGAATTTGACCAAATTCATTTGCACGTTTTTTATTATTATAACGTGCTCTGTTTCCTCCTTTTTTCGATAAATACAATACATGATCGCATTATTATTATTATTATTATCATTATTATTATTATTATTATTACTATTATTATTATTACTAGTAATTTATTTTTCTACTATATACATAAATTAAAATAATTCGATATTTCTCCGGCAGGCGACATGACGGGCAGACACTCGTACTACACCATCTACGAGGGACACGAGATAATGTTTCATGTGTCCACGATCTGTCTCTTATACACATCTAGATGTGTATAAGAGACAGGCCCTCGCCCGGCTTCAGGAAGAGATCAGCCCCCTCGNGTAAACAACAGGTATGTCATAAACAACAGGTATGTCATAAATAACAGGTATGTAGTAAACAACAGGTATGTAGTAAACAACAGGTATGTCATAAACAACAGGTATGTCATAAATAACAGGTATGTAGTAAACAACAGGTGTGTAGTAAACAACAGGTATGTGATAAACAACAGGTATTTATTTATACCCACTCAAATATGTGAGACTTTGTCCCAATGTCGATGCAGTTTTTGCCCTGGATCATCCTGACGATGTTGAGCTCGGAAAAAGAGCGTATTGGGGCTATCTGCGGGAACAGTATCACTATTTTGGACAGTATGACCTATTATTTTTCGCTTTATTTTAAAACAGTACGTGTTTCGCTTCATCTGGTCTAGAAGAAATGTCTCTAACTGTTTATTATATTTTCCTGTTTCTGTTATTCATGAATACATATAAATTGGAGTTCTTAGTAATAATCTTCTTGCTATTTTTTTTAAACTCGTATAAATTAGTTACATCAATCCCAGAATTTATCATTTGTATTCACGTCATTTGTAGTATTGAAGAAATAGACACTTTAGGAGTTTACTTAGTATATTTAAAATCATTTTAATCCATGGTATCACGAAATTATGAAATCACGATCATGTTATCATGAAAACTTTTCAAGATGCCATGGATGCAACCATACTTAGTTCTTTGCGTATTTTTGATAAACGGCTTTCGCGATTGCTCTGTCGCAGAGAATACTAACTCTAATGATGTTTATAATTATGGTTTTAGCTCCATTCAAGCTTCTTTTGTTTTGCCTCTTGAATCGAACAGAGGTTAGCCGTAAGAAAACATGCTGTTTTATGCATCTGTTAGTGCAATATGTTTCATGCATCTGTTAATGCAAGATGTTGCTTTCATTTGTTATTTATTACACCATGTTTTCTGCATCTGTTCGTACAACATGTAGCAAGCATCGGTTAGTACCTTATGTTAATGAATTTCCGCTCAAGCTGCTTGGTAGAAAAAAAATATTTCACAATTTCACATCAGCGGAAAAACGATATTTCACTATGTTTTGAAGCTCCTTCGTTCTACATATGTGTTATTAGGAAGCTAGAGTTTCTGATTATACATCAATATATATTTAACATATCTGTATCGCTGTATTTCGATGCCCTGACCTTTCAGACAGCTAATATTTGCACAAGTTTCAGTTGGAATTTTGTTAAATCTCTGAGGGTTTTGTTATGCTTTCATTCAACGCTCGACACATCTGCGATCGCCACAATTTCAGTTAAAGACATGAAGTAAAATGTTCTGTGTAGAAAAAGTCATGACTTATAAAGGCCACGAATATCTGCTATCGTCACAATTACAGTTTAAGACATGAAGTAAAATTTTCTGTGTAGAAAAAGGCATGACTTATAAAGGCTTCGAATATCTGTTATCGTCACAATTACAGTTAAAGACATGAAGTAAAATGTTCTGTGTAGAAAAAATTAGGACTAATAAAGGCTTCAAATATCTGTTATCGTCAATATTACAGTTAAAGACATGAAGTAAATGTTCTGTGTAGAAAAGTCATGACTTATAAAGGCCACGAATATCTGCTATCGTCAAAATTACAGTTAAAGACATGAAGTAAAACGTTCTGTATAGAAAAAATTCATGACTTGTAAAGCTTCGAATGTACCCACGAAGAAAAAGTCATGACTTATAAATGCCACGAATATCTGCTTGAACAGCGGAAAGAGACGCGATCTCATCGTCGGTCGCGAAATCGCCCACTGCTGGATTAATGACCGCGGCAGATTGCATCTCTCCACCACTAACACCACCTCATGCCCTTCCTTCCTTACTCTCCACCACTAACACCACCTCATCCCCTTCCTTCCTTCCTCTCCACCGCTAACACCACCTCATGCCTTTCCTTCCTTCTTCTCCACCACTAACACCACCTCATGCTCTTCCTTCCTCTCCACCACCAACACCACCACCATTACTATACCTCTCCATCTCCTTTCTCCTCCCTCTCCACCACCACAACTCTCCTCATCCCACCCTCCCTCACACCACCACCACACCAGCGACATCACCACCATCTATCGGCACACTCAGCTCATTGTTCGATGAGGCGCGTAATGATGGCGTGCATTAGTGATGCCGGCGCTAGGCGAGCAACACTAGGAACGCCTCTCAAAAATAGACATGCAATTCACGTGCCTCTTTCCCGGCCTGGGCGCCTGAGATGTCTGGCTATTCGCCCAGCCATTAGCGCTATGTCTGTTTCTCTAGTATGTCTCATACAGGATTCCTACATTTTTGTGTTTGTTTGTGTTAGGATTAGGATTGTGTATTCCTATATTGTGTTTGTGCGTTTATGCTGTTTTATATTTTCTGTTTGTTCGATATAAGTGTGCTCTCTGTTTTAGTTCGTCTTCATTCGGTGCGAACATTTGTTCGTTTTTTTTCTCACTTCTGATGAATATCTGAGCTTTTGAATGCCGGCTTATGCTCTCGGGTTGACTATGGTGAAAAGTGAGTTTTACCCAATTAGGGCCTTAAAATTTGGTTCAGTTATAATGGATTCATCACCTCCTCTTTCTTCTTTATATTTCTACATTTAGTTTCTTCTTGTCAGATTTCCTGCAAATCTGCTTGGTTTTCGTACTTCCTGGATCGAAGAATTTAAACGGGATTTCTGTTTTTTAACTAAAGTTAAGGTTTAGACTAAATTGACTTCATTTATGGATTCCTCCATATTATGATAAATACCTTGATGAAACTTATATAGGCTGGCATCAATAGCTGTATTTATGTTCGTCATTTGATTTTACGAAATACACTGTTGAATAAATGGAAAAGCTGTTATAATTAAAATGACTACGCATGAAACAAAGTATTGGCACTCGATTTCAAGGATCTCATCACTGTGTAAATAACCCATCATAATTTTGATGTGTGAATTCTACTCTAAAAACCGCAACTGGGCTAAATACGTTCAATTTGACTTTGACAAGTAACTCGATTTATATATGAAAATAATCAGGAGCCACCACTTGCAGATTTCCGTCAACAGATCACGACTTGAGATTATTTTTAACATGACCCAACTCACACAATTAATTTTCAGTAGTGGTCACCTCTGTACAGATGAAAACTTGATGGATTGAAAACCTTTTGTGTGACGATTGCCAAACAAGTAACAATGCCCCATTAGCCGCTGGTCCGCCACTCGACGACAAGACGGCTATCAATAGATATTCCTTAAATCGATTAAAATGTAACAAATAAAGCGACATTAATCATTATTTTCTCAAAAGCTGCCCAAATGTAGTATAACTGTAAATTTTTCTTCTTCGACGATGAAATATAATATACGATTTCGATCACTTAACGTTCTATTGATGATCGCATCACCATTTACTCTGTTTTCCTTGAAATATTCATGAAATATTCTCTACTTTCTGATTTCCAAAGATGATCATATTCTGATTTGACTTTCAAGAGAGGTGACCCATTTTATTTATGCTGCAATCAGCACCGACGCGGTTACAAACTCAAGCGGTAATGTTGTCTAATGAGCGGATGACGAA